TGCTCGGAAACGCAAAAGAAATTGTCGTGGTAACGTGCCACATATCAAGGAAGAAAAATATTCTCATTAATTTATTTATCGCATCTTCATTCAGATATCTTCTCTTGTCTGTTATGCCGCGTGCGCGCGAGACGCTTTAAATATAAATTATTTTGCGGCAAGCAATGAGAAAATACGATAAAAAATGCCGAAGAGAAGACATGAACAGAAAATCACTTTCATCTGTTACCGCTGAATCGACTTGTCATTAAACATATCATCAGTGATGCTGCAATTTATATTATGTTGGTGATGGTCAAGGACAAGACTTCATTTCATCATTAATAAATTGAAATCTTTTCGTTAATTTACATTCAGAAGAGAACTTCAACAAGGAAGAATGAAAACGAGACTGAAACTCATCCTTAATTGCTATTTTACTCCAAATGCCATGAATCATGGTAGATAATTCATAATTTTAAATAAAAGTCACGGCTATGTCAGACTTTTTATTGCACTTTGATGAGCTTCGACTTGAGTGAAACATGTACTGCTTTGAATAACAAATTTTCCTCCAGCCACGCTTTTTTCACACTTTGCTTTGATGAACGACTGATACCAGTTGAGAAATCATGCTTTATGTTTGGGATGAAGTAAAAAATATTCAATTCAGTTTTTATAGCTGCTTCTCATAAAGTGACGTAAGCACACCAAAATGTTAATTATCCTACACATGTTTTTTGGAACACTCATGAAGCTGAAATAATAAGATTATGTGATGAAACTGGCAGTGCAAGCTTTTTTGAGCATTTGAATTTTCCCAAAAATGTTAACATACGTCACGTAAAGCAGCATGAAAGGCTTCTGCACTTTTAATCGTCTTAAATAAGCACTCAAAACTTTAGTCATGTTCCCTTAATTAACATAATGTTGCTTAATTAATATTTGATATTTGCAGAATGCCCATAAAGTTGTGACAATTTTGGTCGAGTTTATGAGCACGTGTGGGAAGTTTTTTTTTAATTTTATGTTTACATGCTTATTTAATATTTTTCACTGCTTTCCCATTTATTTGATATATGTTGTGTATGCTGGAAATAAATAACAATTTATTAATTTTGATCACATTTTAAAAGTTATGTTAATATTTGACTTGTTTATGATTTCAAGCGGTCTTAATTTTTCACAACGAGATGCATACTAAAAGACCGACTTGCATAGTCAAACACATAAACGAAACAAAGCAAAATTGCTTCATGTTTCATGAATCAAACCAATTGGAAAATGTGAGTAGTTGAGAAATTATTATATTGCTTCGAGGGAAATAAAGAGACAGACCCGAAGCATATATTATTGTGACGAAATTAACAACAGTTTTATTAAGTTACATGCAATATTAAGAAAGCGTTAATCATCGGGTCCGAATCGATTCTTTAGACTTAAACGAGACACAATCAAATAGCTATCTGAAAATAATAAAAAGTTAACACGCGACATTGAAAGGCCGACATGTTATAAAGGACAGGAAGTCTTTATCTAATCGTTGTGATTGTGATGAAATGAATAGAAAAAATAATTCAAATACTTTATTGCCTTTTTATAAACAGAAAAAAATTATTACCTCGCAAACTTTTTTTGTCTCTCTTGAACTCTCGAATGTCAGTGGTTTGTTATTTGCAGATCAATGTTGAGGAGGAAAAAAACTAACTTAGACATTTATTTATTTGGATTATAAGCTTTTGATTACTTTTTCATGATTCTGTAAAAATTTTAATTCTTATAAAATTCAAGGCTGGTGGTCGGTCAAGCAAGAAAAAATAAAGAATGTATAAGCCACTGAAAGTCGCTGGTTGAGAAAGAATTCTTTTTACTTAAATATCAAACAAGGAAATTTTCTCGTATTTCCTGTTTCAAAAATTTCAATCTAAACTTTACCATTCTACCTCATCGATTTTCGAAAGGATGCATGCTGGCGGCTACTTAGGTAATTGAAAAAGATAACAAATAATTCAACAGCAATGAAGGCTCTTGAAGTTATTTTCCCTTTGGGAATATTTTCTAATTCATAAACTTTAATTGAGAAATATATGCATGTATGAACGATGCTTTGTTGCATGTTCAAATGAATGAATTGTTGAGAAACTTCAATTTTTAACCACGCTATAGTATTGTATCTAGAAGTGCCTGCCTTTAAATGCACGTGAAAATCGACTGCAAAACATGCTTACGGTATGAATCAGTTGTTGAGTTTCGAATTTGTTTAAAGTTTAAGCGCGATATCCGATCGGCAATTGAAACAAATTTTAAAATATGGAATGAATCTTAAATTATAGATCGTAGGCAAGATAATAACAATAAATTAAATATATTATTATTGGAAGTAAATATTATGCAGTTGACCTTCAACCTCTGACAGTTCAAATCATTTTTTAGCAATACCGCCGTGCTACCGAACTCTGGTCGTTAATATTTCTAAAATCACTTAATATTTCTTGAGTCTTTAAGATTCAAATGAAGTAATAGTAATTGAAAAAAGGCGCATTTAATAGAGCTGGTATTTAGATCAAGCCACAGCAATTAATGCTTATAATCATTCAACAAATATGTGCTTTCGGTGGTGGAGAGTTTAAACTTCAATAATTAAAATCTTTACACATACAATGTGAATGATTTATTGTTTATAAACGAAGCACGTCGCAAATATCTAAGCGGTTTTACTTTAAAAATCGTACAAAAGTGTGAACAATAATCTGCACCAATTTGTTCACATGCTCGAAATTGAACCGCAGCACAAAAAAATATTTCCCTTTTGAATTTTCAATTGAATCAAATCAGCTAACGTGGTTTCTTAAATATTGATTTCAGAAATCGATATATTAAATATCTTGGTTACATATGAGCGTAGGCATGATTATATTTGATTATCATGTACGTAACAATATCAATTTCATTGTATTCTTTTTTCATTGCACTTACAATTTGCAATGTTGTCGGTATCAGCAATAATGTTGAAGAAAGACATTTGTCAACATAAATAAATGAAAATTGCTTTTAAGAAATAAAAAGTTTTTCTTTTTCCTTGAACACCAATTTCGATTGATGTTCTCGATAAGGTGCATTATTATGGTGTTTCCATGAGAAGAATAAGAAAATTTCGCACTGCCTGCGGAAAAAAGTTTACACGACATGAAAATTCCATTACGATGTTATTTTAACGTCATATTAAAAGCAAACATTTATGTCACGAAAAATAATTGGAGCATATTCATTCATATTTTCAAAAGCTTTGAAAGAGAAATTTGATACTTGAATGTCGCAGTTGTATAATGTGTGTTAATAGTCGTCATTTAAGAAACAGTTTTAAATATATGAATGTAACTATTTGACTTATGAAATCACTCGAAATCATGTTTCAATCATCTTCCATGCTTTCGATGATGATGTTCATGATGATGATGATATTTTTTCACATTCGTATGAGTAATTATGTAGTTAATGAGTCCAAAACCTATGTTTAATTATGATTTTCGACATTGTTTTCTCACTTGGACGGAGAGGCTTGCTTTTATAAAGCGATGAAAGGTTTGTAAACATTTGTAGACGATGCTATAACGCAGGTCATAACAAATATGTTATAAATTATGAATTCAATTTTATGTCCTTTGCTACTCTAATTGGATCTAGAAGCAGTCAGAAACGTTTATTTCACTTTGATTTATTACTAAGTTGGTTGGTTGTTAATTTATTTCATGAAATACTGTGCAACGTTAATGTCAATCAAGCTTTTCAAATAAAAGGAATATCTCAAAGTGAGTATAAAAGTATCCGATGGGAGATGAAAATGCGTCAAGCTTTGGAAATAACACGTTTGATATCTTATATCAGTTATTATCGCCTAATACCCTTTAATTATTATTTATTCGATTTAAACTGAAAACATAAACGTTGAAGTAAATTTTGAAACTTTAATTATGTGCCGTTTCTTAAATAATGTCGATGACTTGCCAAACATTTGATTGAAATGATTTCGAAATCATCATCTACGTCACTCACAAACTATGCAATGATTTAAAAATTGTCATATTAAACTTCTTTTTAAGATTAATTCCACTAATCAGGTACATATCTGATGACCTTCCTCTACTGTTACAAGATTGTAAATAAATTATTGAAAATTAAACGTGTGGATAACAACATGAATGAACGTGATATTTTGCATTCTGCAGTTTCTATAAAAAATTCTCTCATGCATTTTCAAAAAAAATCCAGTCCAACATATTTTTGCATAAATTTATTTTGCATAATTAAAGAGATTGGAAAAATAAAATTGAGACATGAAATAAAAAATTAATTTTTCTCATCTTGTTTAAAAAATAATATCTGATTTAATTAATAAATTGTTTCATTCGCTATCGGAGTAATTTCATACCGGAAAAAGTGAAACTTTAAATATTTCATAATCAAAAAAAGCCTAATTTGAAAGTAAAAAAAAGTGTCTCGAGGACGAATATGTCATTTGTCACAAATGGAATGCTGTAACAACAACAGGTGCACGCAACTGCCATTAAATGAAAAAAATGATCGATATGTCGTTTTTTTGAAGGTGCCAAAAATTGCCACAATACGCATGAGATAACTAAGATAATTTGCTTGATCGCATTCGAATATCTAAGCAAGCAACAAGTAAACTAATATGTATGCAATCGTAAGACAACAAACGCGTGCGATCAATCTAAGTAGTAAGTTTGTATTTTCGATTACATTTTATTTTCATAGATACAATCGAATGAATAAATTATCGTAATATGTCAATCAAATCTCGATTCCGTTTTCACTTTCATTTTAACATTTTTTTTCTCGTTTGAACTCATGCAAGTTGCAGCTTACATTCGAAGAACCAAAATAAGCATAAAATATTTAAATAAGTCAACGATCGTTAAATGGACTTTGGTTTCTTCTACTTACTTATTTATAGCGCACAAATGCATGTTCAATTTGATTTGTGTGATAATCCCATGAGAAAGAATTGCATTTGAATTTGAGAATTTATTTCAATTGAATGAAAATGCACTCACGATTTATGCTGTAATTTTTACTTTTGTTTATTATTTCACATTTTTCTCCCTTTTTCTCATGTCTCGATAGAAAAAATCTCTTTCCTTAAGCATTTTTTCTTTTATATCTTTTGAAATTTTCTCATATATACTGAATTCATGCGAAAAATAAAAAAGAATCATGATCGGCAGTAATTGAACGCGAAAGATTTGTGTGAAACTTTGCCAGTGATTGATCGTTCATTTTTACTTAAATCTAAAATAATCAAATTAAAATTTTATTCAATGTAAAAAAATGTTTTTTTGCGTTATATAAAAATCAATTTGGTCTCAAAATCCATGAAAGATGAAGTATGAAGCTTTTTCTAAGGATTAAATTCGAGGATTAAGTTTCAATCCGAGCCCGCCATTACATCCATGAATTCTAAAAAGTAGAAAAGTAAACAAACATTAAATGAAAAATCTAAAATTACTTTAGGGACTCTCGTGGACAATTTTCGAATAAAAATTATGACGTAATTCATACATGAACATGTAGGTTTCATAATATTATCAGATTACCTAGAAAAGGTAAAATAATTTTTAAATTTACCATCAAAATCAATCGTTCCACTTCCATCAGCATCAATTTCATCGATAATTTCATCAAGTTCATCTTCGGGAAGCTCTGGATCGATTTCTCTTAAAATTTTCTTAAATTCGTCCAGTGGAAGATAACCACGAGCTCCTTTATCGTAAAGCATGAAAACTTCTCTCAATTCTTTTCTCAACTCATCGTAATCCTCCTCTGGTTCGACATAACGTGATGCAAGTTTAAGAAATTCTGGAAATTCAATTTCTCCACTTTCGTCTTCATCGAACTCATCACAAACGTCATCAAGTTCGTCTTCATCTACATCATGACCTAACATCTGTAAAATTGTGCCAATTGTATCAAGAGAAATTGTCCCTTTCTTCTCATTATCAAACACGTTGAATGCATCTTTTAGAACTGAAATAATCAAATTTTAATTATGCTTGAAATTTGCTTCACTTAAGTTTTTGAAAAACTCACTTTTAAGTTGATCTTTACTTAGTTTTGTCTCCTGAAAATCAAACAAACAGGTCAAGTTTTAGCAATCTTCATCTAAAGTATTTTCCAAACACATTTTACATGGAAAGTCTTTTCCAAGGTTAAACATTTGCCACTGGCCAACACCCTCACATTTTCATTCATTTTTTCTCATGAATATTTGTTTTAAACTTTCCGAGTTTTATTTTTTGGAAACAAAAAAGTAGAATTCGTTTGTGAGTGAAAATAAAATAATTAATTCATACAAAAAGTCAAAACAGATGCGTGAAAATTTCCATAAACAGGCAATTAACTTCTACTAGGACAACGTTCTATTATTTTCAGGATATTAATTAACTTTTTTTTTATTTTGGGTTGTTTTTAAATTCAGCATTTAAGTCAGGATTCATTTTCCAACTCAAAGACTTCGTCACGTATTCCACTCATGAAAATTCATTTAAAAGTGTTTAAAAGTTTTTTAATCACAACAGTTTTAAACTTTGTCAGTGGAATTTTTCTCAAGAAAATTTCAGTGGTGAAATGAAAATTTAATTCTTTTCCATTATAAATTCATTTAAATTCAATCGCACATTCCACTTAATCATTAAATAACTTTTTTCTCTTACTTCTCTGATTTTTTGATTAATTGCTGCCGTTGAGCCTTGTGTAGCAAATATGTTTGCCATCATTGTTGATTTATATTAAAAAACTATTTAATGATTGGAGTTAAACTTATTAAAACACTACGAAAGAATCAACTCCTTTCAATGAGACGACTGCAAATGAAGTGGAGAATGAAGTGAATAACAATTTCGATTTTAAAGTGTCTTCACTCGAAGATCTGCGTCGTTTGATTAATAATAGAATTAAATTTAAACGCAATGAGTAACTTTATAGTGTATTGCTTTTAGTTTCAGTATAATTAGATATTCTTTTAAAGATGAATACAAGAATAGCCTCGATGAAGATGGCAAAAAAGTGCAGTGACAGTTCAATCACTTTACAGCTACTAACGAGACTGAAACGTTAATTAATTAAGAAAATCTTGGAGAGCTTCTCAACAAATCATCATTCCTCATTTTTTTTTTGGGGAATGTCAAACGCATACTTTTAAACCCATGTAAATGTTGATGAAGATTTTAATGCCTAAGGTGAAAGAAGTTCCTTGATATAAAATTCTTAATTTTTTCTCCTCAATTTGTCGCAAAAGCAGCGTAAAATATTTTCACACATCATTTGCAGATTACGCAAAAACATTTTTGAAATTACTTGAAACATTCTTTAGTAACACAAATTGGTTGCGTCTAATGTTGTTTGAAAAATTTAAACATTTTCTGTGTTTAATTTTTAATAAACAAAGCCAATTAAAATTCTCAATCGAAATAGTCTAAGGTAACATTTGGCTAACGGCTTGGAAAATCGACAAGTGCAACTAGCAATTTATTGGAAATATGTACATGAGAATCGATATTCAACGAGTTTGAATGGTGGAACGATTTCAACTTGCTTTCGAAACTCATGAATCCAAAAAGTTAATCCTTGTCATATAGAAATTATGTCGTCCACCAAACCTGTCTTGATTTCTTATGTCAAACAAACGTTGGGCGGTTTCGGCTTATAACATTTTCTTTGCCCGTTTATGAAATTAATAATACTTTATTTAAGTTTCTTATTTTTTATGTTCATTGGAATTTTTTCTTTTTTGTGATTTCAAAACTCAAATTTAGTTTTATTATTTTACTTCTCTTCGTGTTATGTGCATGAAAAGTCATAAAATTGAATTAATTAATATGAAATGTTAAACGAGTGAGCATACGAATTTTAACAAATTTAACAACCATAAAAATATATCAAATTTGTTGTGCAGTCTGTGCTTTGGTGTGTGCAGCTGATTGTTATGTATGATAAGTGCAAACATAACCAGTTAACACAATCGTGATTAGTGCGTTGACACTCAGTTGTCTCAATCAAGTGAAATTTCTGTCGCCTTCACTGAGTTTCATTTGATCAACAACTACACTAAATATCTAGGTAGAAAAGATAAAGAAACTGAAAGCAAAATGATTTGAAAATTGCTAAGCAAAGCAAATGAGAGAAAAATATATTCACAAACAATTTATTTTTAAGCTCACAACCAATTGTTGTTATCAATTCAATTTATTTGCTTTCGTGATTTTTGTGTACAGTTTAGAATGGCTTTTTTATTGCATTTTATTTTACAGACATTTTCCACTACAGACTCTTTTGAAATCTGTAGTAAATGAAAGTATGATGTTGAATAAATAATAATCTCGTGAATTCATTTCCCTAGAGATGTGTGAACATGAAATTCTGTAGAAAAATTTGTAGAAATATTTTGACAGCACATTTCTAGTCATCGCCACCTGTCATAACCTGGAAAACATTTAACAAATTCTCTTACATAAAATATCAATAAACTTGAAATGTTTTCCTCATTAATACCTCCATGAATTCTACAAGAAAACAGATTACAATTAGATAAATAAATTATAAAAAGTTTAACTCGATTTCTTACCATCAAAATCAACAGTTCCGCTTCCATCCGAATCAATTTCTAAAAATATTTGTAAATATTTGCTATTAATATTAAATAAATTGTGAAAATGTTCACGACTTTTCACTCTTCACCTTCAATCATAGCATCTAAATCATCATTAGTAAGCGTATCGTCCAACTCTCTGAGAATTTCTTTCAAAACTGCTGTGGTAATATATCCGTTTCCTGAAATAAACATAAATCATAAAAGTACATTAATAAGCACATTAAACACATTTGCGATCTATTTTACGACAATGATGTAAGGAAGCTTTATGAGAAACTCCATATGAAAGTCAATCGCAATAAATCTAATTAAGGAAAAGCCTGAATCGAATTTTTGTGTCATTTGAAAATATTTGTGTCTTTCAGACATGTAGCAGATTTTTTTTTAATTGAAAGCGTAAGATATTAAGTGAAGAACATGACGTAGATTTGAGATAAATGATCTTGATATTAAGACAACATAAACATGATCTACATAAGCAAAAAGCTTATTAATATTCCTAATGAATCTTTTAACAACAACATTTTACTTATGTAGGTATGTGGAACAAACCTTCTTTATCGTACAGTCTGAAAGCTTCTTTGAGTTCTTGTTGCATGGCCTTAGGGAGAAAAGTAATGAAGTTAAAATCATGTTGTAAAATATTGAAAATATAAAAAATACTTCTGCGTCTTCTTCAACCATAAATCTTGCAGCAAGAGTAACAAACTCTTCAAACTCAAGTTCTCCAGATCCATCAGCGTCGACTTCATTGATAATATCTTGAAGCATTTTGTCATCAAGTTGATGGCCAAGCATACTCAAAATGGTTCCAATCTAATATGACATAAAAAGGTTCATAAAGAAATTTATTGTTTTATTTCCTTTTCTATAATCATCATTACCATGGTGGTTCCAATGCATCCTTTTTTTTCCTGATCGAAGGCATCGAATGCATTCTTAAGAACTGTCAAGGAGAACAATGTCAAAAATCTTGGTTTTATTTAAGTGCTCAAAATCATTTTAGATTTCTTAGTGTTCAATAAATTATGTGTGAATTCGAGAAGAAAGTTTCCTCTTTCAAGCCTATCGTAACGTGAAACTAATTGAGCCCCGATGGCAAAGAATAAAGGCAACGGAAGAAAATTATTTTTAGGCGCACTTGTTGAGATCATTTTTATTTTTATTACTAAGTATGTCGAAGGCGTATTATTATTGCAACATAAATAAAATTGCATAATAATGATTGGAAAGAGAAAAAATTCCCTTTTGTGAATAAATCGTGAAGGCAACAAGTTAGTCTGGGCACTTAAACATTTTACTGCCTTTTATATGCTTATATCACTTATCACTACGACCATAATTCACTGAACACTGAATAAAATTCCACTTACGTTGAACTTGAGCTTTATCTAATTCTTCCTGTCCAAAAGAATAACAAAGGAAAATATTACGTGACTTGATCGTTTGAAAAATTATCGACTTAATACTAACCATAATTCACTTATTCTTCTCTCTAAACTGAAATACTTTGTGGGAAAACGAAAGCAAATTTGTTAATACGCTGATGTGTTGATGACTGCTTAAAGATTGTGAACAGTTTGTTTAAAGAAAGCAAGGGAGATGGGAACTCAAAATCATTCACTTTATATCTAATTTCTCGTGGGATTTAAAAATAAATTATTAAAGCAATGTTTTTCAAATATTTTGTTTGCTTTGTACAAAAAATAGTAGAAAAATTACATGAAATACTTGAAAATTTACAATAATTTTCTTTCCGTGTTTATAGCTGATGATGTTTAAAACTTAGCGACTTTTCATTTCGTGAGCAGAACTAAATGCATCATCTCAAATTGCTGCTCATGCCTCCAATTAAAAAATATAAAAAGTGAAAAAAAAATCTTTTGTTACAATTTTGTCGACAAAATTTCGCTATTGAATTTACTCTCCAAATAGAAACAACGAGTTATAAACTCAGTATAAACAACAGTAAACGAATAAATGTGGTTAAGTGACTGCAACAACTTGGAAAACTTTGCTTACACTATTTTCAATAGGATATCTACGAGGAAGGTGCTCGAAACAATTTCTCAGGAAAAAGATAAATTCATAAAAGAATTCATTTCACTTATTCATTCAAGATGCATTTTAGAGCAATAAATTTAATTTTCAAGAGTTTAATGGTAAATAAATAGCAGATTGAGAGGATCTGACGTTTAGTTAGAGAACTGTTGCTGGATATTTATGTGAAGCTAACAATGTGTTGATTTTATTATGCATTTTAGTATGAAATTTTCAATTTTCAGGTGAAAGGGAAATGTTTTTAAGACAATTAAATATTTGTTAAAGCAATTGAAGCGTTTCCTTAATTAGATAAATTTACATAAATTTTATCGATATGCACAAGAGTTTGTTTATAAGAAATTATAAATGCTCAATACTTATTTTATTGGTATTTTAATTACAGTGATTTCGAAGAAAGACTGAAATCTATTTTGTCATCAACGATCCACTTTATTATGTCTACTTTTCATTTTTTAATTTATGCAATTTGCATTAAATATTAATATTGACGTAAAAAAATTACTCGCAATTAGGAGACGCTTCATAAATATTCAAAGTGTGGTGTAAAATTTTGCTGAGATATTAAGAGATGATGTGTTTGTCGACTCGACTCGACATTAAATATTGAAACTATTTTCGTCTCATTTTGCTTTCATTACTTTCATCAGAAATGCTTCATTTTAGTCGCTTCAATTGCATGTGGCTCGGGATTATCCCAACATAACGTGACTTCATAATGATCTCATCTGCAGTTTACCGCACTTACACTGAATCGCTTTAAAAAAACTCAATTAATGATGAAATAAAAAAACTTTCAAATTAATTTTATACACAACTGCTTTTCATGATTCTAGGAGTAATTAGGTAAATATATAAATTTTTAAAGTGGATGAGGAAAACTTTCTTTTATTGAAATGACTTTGAAATCATGATAACGAGAAAACTTCATTAAAAAAATATCAACCATTCAAATGTAAACATATTCAGATAATTACAACAATATGCAGAGGTCATTTCTGGGTTCAACTGTCTCTGATTCAAGGCGGAATTCTTTTTTAAATTCCACTTAACTCAACATGATATTTACGATAAAGAAAAAGAAAATTACGCAATCATTCCAAAATACGACAGAATCAACGTAGGTTGAATGAAAAAAAAAGGCTTCACATGAAACTCTTTAAAAAATTGTTTTTATTTATTTGGGACAGGTGCATGCGAGAAGACGTTTATTTATGAAAATAATTCTATTGCGTGGGTGAGTATTTTGAATGTAAACATGGTTGAATTTTCTCAGAGACATGACGTACATCATTTTAAATAAAAAATCGTTCAATGTTCAATTTTCATCTGCTGATGGACTCCAATATTTCTTAAACTTTCTGGCATACATTTGAGCACCCACGTCATGTTCATTCCATCCTTCAATATTTTGCATTCGTTTGAACCAAGCATGCAAAAATGGATATTTTTCTTCGATTTTCTCTCCAAGATGCTGAAAAAAAAAGTTGAAGTGTGAAATGAAATTAAAGGAGAAAATTGCAGGCTGCAATTTACATAAAATAATCCAATCGTGCCAAGAATAGACATGTCAGCAAGCGTCACAGATTCGCCAGCAAAATATGGCGATTCTGTTTTATTCTCACGATATTTGAGTGGTGAGTTCTTTAGATATTCCTCCAAGAGACTCAGCATGACTGATACTTTATTGCGTGTCTCCAGAGAAATTTTCGAAGTTTCTCCCGATAAAATCGGTGCCTGTCAATATAAAGTAATTTTAAAGTGGGACGATTACGTGAGTTTTCGTAGATCTTACAATTGCATTGTTGTACCAAGTTGGAACAACATAAGTAGCATCCATATAAAGAAACATGTCAACCCAAGCACGCTCCAAGGGTTCAGTTGGATAAAATTTATTCCCCGGCTTCATATTTGCCAGATAGCAAGCAATTGCTCTGCTTTCAGTGAGTCTGTAGTCGTAATCTGCTAGAACTGGAACTTGTTGTCGTGGATTTATAGCTGTGAATTCCTTACTGAACTGTTCATCACTCGAAAGCACCACAGATCGAAGCTAAAAAATCCAAAAAACTTTAACAAAACTCTTTAAAATGTTTTTCACTTTTATTTACATCAATGTCGATGTCTAAATTGCGAGCGACCAACAACACAAATCGCGAATGAATTGACGAGGGACAGTGATATAAGATCATGACGATTAGACTTCAGATTCCAAACTGATTTTCGTTTCTTAATTTCTTCTCCAAATCTTTTTCCATTTCATCGTTTGATTTGATTACGCACGTCAGAGTTTCATTCGAAATGTTTTGATTTCCGCTACCCTTGGAAATATTTTGGTTAGTTAATTTACTTTCATCATAAAGTCTAACGAAATGTTCAGAAAAAAAACTTCACATCAATTTTACTGGAAATTCATACTTGTTTCAAATAAGTTGTCAAATAAACATTAGTAATTAAATGAGACAATGTATTTTGTTATGTTCACATTTGATTGAATCCAAAGAAATAACTTTATTGATCACGTTGAAACTAACTGAATAATTTACATTTTATTGAACTTTTATACGTTTTAATTTGTACAAGCAAGTCACAATTAAACATTTATTTATGCGATTAAGCATTTATTAATATTTTCTGATAAATTTCATAATTTGGGGTAACATTAAAAATATGGAATATTGAAATACATTGAACGTAAATATTTTACTCAAACATGACACGAAACAAAATTTTACCTGTGCAAGTATGAAAATATTTAATTTCGTTTAAGAAAATTCTCTTCTCTACACCCACACAAAATTTTATATGATAAAGTTATAATGGTTTTCGGTTTCGTCTTCAATACGACTTGGCTGTCTTCTGTAAATTGAATTGTTGTTACGTTTTCCAATTTCAACCGTTGATGCAGTAGAAGATGCGATGGAGCGACGAGGCAAAGGTGGTGGAATGAGTTCAGGTGAATGACATGAAGGCGCTCCATGGCAATGGGGAAAACTTCCACAACGTCGTGGCAATTCTTGTTGAAAGTCAGAAGCTTGAAAAACCTGCGAAAATCTTGGTGGTGCACGTGTGACACTGACATAGCTTAAAGCACTTCTCAAGCTGGAATCTGATGAACTTCTCATGAATGGAGGTCTGTGAATGTGAAGTTTAAGATTTATGTATCGGTATACGAAGGAAATTAAATTTTCTTACTTGTTCTCATGTGATTTCCTTGGAAGTGGTGTCAAGTAAGTTGGAGGTTCAGCTTCAGTTTTCACTGGTGTCACTGATTCCCTTTGCCATGAATTACTGCGTGAACCACTCGGTAAAATCATCACATCCTTCGTACGGTTATTAACTATAACGACTCTCTTGCTTCCTCTTAACAGTGTTGGCATACGACGAAGCAAGAAGAATGTCATGATGATACCAACAACAAGACTTAACAGAAGAAGCATCATAAATGATGTTAAAATAATTACTTTCTGTTCTTGATAAAGCCATGTTTGACGGTTATAAGGCGTGGACGTCTGATAAGATTTACATCCGAAAAGATTATTTAATATTCCAATTGTTTCGCGAAATGCACAAAATGTATACATTGTCGATAGGTCTAGTTGATTCACTGTAATTTTTTGTGACACTATAATTTGACAGCTTATAAATTCCTGGATTTCATCGTTGGAGAGAGCTGATATGTCGAGTAGGCTTGGATAATAAATTAAATATGATGGTGGGTTGTTACTCGCAAATATTACTTGAACTTCGGTTTCTGATCTCATTTCAAAATGAAAAATTTCTGTAGGTCTCATAAGAGTCAGCGTATCATAGTTATCATAGTGATTCCTATTCGAAGCTGCATATTGGATAACTGAAGCTTTTAATAGTGGTGTAATGGAAGGGGAACAGTGAACCTGGAAACTATAAGGGATATTTGTACTTTGAGAATATGTTGTCTGTTTATGCGGGGTTGTAGCCATTATAGTTGTATTTGGTGTCGTATTACTCGTTGCTTCTAATTTCATAAGAACAAGAGAAATGAAAGATTCTTAATTTAATAACGTGCATAAGTTCAAAGTAGATTTTGCAATCGTTTCTAATTATAATTTGTTGAATTTTTTAATTTTCTTAGTTTCTTAATATGCAACATGAAGTATGACAATTATATGACATAAAATGAAAGTTATTTTCATATCAAAAGAAATGTTCTGTACAGAAATAGTTGTTCAACTAATTTTGCATAGTTAATGCCTTAAAAATTACACGTTCGAAATCTAAGCACACCAAACATGTCATACAATGAATGTCGCACAACACATGTAGCATTATGTCGTATGAAATCTAATTTGAATTATCAAAGATCATCTCTATTTGAATAATTTAAATAAATTTCAATAATTTTAAAATTTATTTATGATTTCTTCACCTGGGGTTGTAGTTGTTGGAGTTGATGTGCTCTCAGTTATAGTTGGAGTTGATGTGCTCTCAGTTATAGTTGGAGTTGATGTGGATGAAGTTGTTGGAGTTGACGTGCTCTCAGTTGTAGTTGCTGGAGAAGTTGGAACCGTTGTTGCTTCAGTAGACGATAAAATATTATTAAAATAATCGAAAAACTTAAAATAATTCGCGAAGGAATGGTGAAAATTAAACATCTATACGAAATAAGTAAAATTCATAACTGTTATGATTTATATCTCATACCTACTAATGATTATCAGATATATTTTAACATAGTGAAATTTTAATTTAAAAAAGCTTAAAAGTTTCTTTTTCTGTGCTTCCCTGAAACATTTATATTCCTACACACGTACATATTCCGTTTTCGGTTATGTTTGACAATTTTAAATGGTAAGCTTCAATCTCATTTTATGAAACAAACTTAAAAAATTAATTTTGTGTTTACAATTTAACCAGCGAAGCTTTTAAACTGTAATCGCTAAAAGCATTGAACTTATGATTTTTTTTATAGAATCATATATTCGTAAGAACCAATTAAATCTGATGGCAGGTTATGAACATCATCATACAAACATCATCTGATTCAAATGTCATTTTAAACTTACAATCTGTCGTCACTATGGTAGTTGTTGTGCAATGCTTTGTGTTCTGAAGACCTGGGTTACTGCAATCTTTGGTCGCTCCTGATGGTGAATATTCTTGATAATCTGTTGTTTGAGGACATAAATCTACTGATGTGATCTCATAACCGTTCAAATCTTCCGGTGTTGAACATTTAGGGCTATCTGTAAAAGCATTCGGAAACTCCAACATCTTTTCTTGTAGATCTCGCAGTTGACAATCACAATGCCAAAGATTGTTTTGTAATGTCACAGTAAATCCTGGGTTCTTTAATAAGTTATCAAAAGTCCCAGGAGCTATAGATGTTAATCGATTTGAATTTAATTGAAGTTTTGATAACTTTTCGAAACCATTACAAGCGTCAAAAGTGATTGATTCAATCTTGGAATTTGACAGATTTAAATCAGTAGTTTTCTTTTTAATTCCCGCAAAAGATGAACTGTTGATGGTTGGGAAATTATTGTTTCGTAAATCCACTGTAGATATTGCATTTAATTCAACAATAGAGAATAATTGTGTTGGAGCCCAATAATTTGGAATTCTTCTTATAGTCAGGGTTGACAATGTTTCAGTTAACATTTCAAGCAGATATTTATCAGCAATATTAATACTTGGAACGTTCTGAATGGTCAAAGAAGTCAAAGATGACAATCCTTCAAAAATGTTTGCATTATACAAAATTAAAGTTGACTCGCTGGTTTCATTCATTTCATTGTTAATGGAAAGACTTCGCGTGTTTTTAAACACATCCGAGTCGAAAGCGTATGGTAAAATATCTTGAATATTAGACTCAATAATTTCAAGATTCTCCACTGGTAAATGACTTTCTGACAGCCATTTTTCTTTAATTTTTCCATCGTGAAATTTACACCGTATTAGTTTTAAATCGATTTCGCTGCAGTCACTTTCCTGATAACGATAATTTTGTATCAGCTTTTTTGATTAAATTATTATCGGAAAATAAATATTTTACTTCTATTGAAACACTTGAGATAAGTGGAATCAAATTGTCATCATGAATATCTGTACAAGTAATGACACAACTCCTTAGAATGCAATCTTCACCTGTATCCCCTGGTATTTGTTCAATTTCATCTTCTGACATCAAAATATTGATTCCAATTTCAGCTTTGCAGCAGTCATAACTAAACATTTAAAAAAATCTCTTTTCGGAACAGTTCTGAGGATAATCTGAAATTTGTTCTTACGTTCCATTAATAATTTTACCAGCTCTTCCTTCTGAATCATTGAAGTTTGTTCGCATTATTGTTACAGTCACCAAACTTGCAAACAAGCATAAAATGGAAAAACAAAATATGAATGTAATTGCTTTGTTGCACTGCGGGCTGTTTATCCATTCATGATAGGATTTAAAACTGTTAATTGAATTGGTTACTGAAATTCTCTTTTTCAAACTTTTATCCATCTCACCATCTATTTTCTCTTCGATTTGAAGATGTTTGATTTAAATTAATGGTTTTTATTTTCATTTCAAAAGTTTTTTTTTCTGAATTCCCTTCAGGAAAGTTTTCAACTTAACTTTTTCATAGAATTCTATTTTAAAAAATTTCTTAAACTTGTTCCTTTTTCACATCAGTACTGTTGCTTTTCCGACACTGAATAGAAAATGAGGAAAAATTCTAATTCAATGAAATAAAATTTCGGTTATAATCATTAAATACACAAAATGAAAGTTTTTTATCACGAAATAATTACGATAAAGCATTTATTTATTACATTAATCTTATCTTAATTATTTATTTGATGACAAAGTTCAGAATTGAATATTTATAGTTTGATTCCAAAACACAATTCCTGATAAATAAAAGTGATTTTTGTGGATGACAGAGAAAGCTTGCTGTCATTTGAGTCAAATGATTTGACTACCTGCTTGATATCTCATAAACATATATTTGCATCACTGGCTGCATAAACAACGGCGAAAGCTAAAATTTGAAGTTTTAAATTCGTTGCATGAAAATTTAAAAAATAAATAAATCTTAACATGTTCCAACTCTGAAAAAACAACCTCAAAGCTTTTGAATCGCGAAAAGAAATAAAATATGATACATAATCCATTTCCCATTCCTGAAATAATGTTTCAATAAGCACCTCAGAGACGAGAACTCCTTTTCAACTTAATGAATATTAAATTTGTTATTTCACGCACCTACCTGCTTTGAATTTTTTAATAAAAGAATCCACTGATTCATTGCAGCTGCGAATATTTCCAAAAAATATTCAATATTTTGTTTAAAAGCTTCTTTTTTTTCTTAGAAAACCTGTCAGCTTAATATTATTTTACATGATATTAAAGAAATCTGAGTCGTCTCAAAAAAATAAAATAAAATACAAAAAATATTTGATTGAAGATTTTTCTTTTCACTTTATTGATCAAAAATGAGTTTTTACACATTTAGAAACATTAAAGAACAGTTTCACTGCGCATCACCTTCAAACTCATGCACTTTGTTCTGCCTTTCCTAGAGTTTGTTGTTATATTATTAATTCAATGAAAATTCTAATGCTTTAGTTATTATTTGAATGAAAATTCACTAATAACATGGATAAATATAAAAGAAGCTTGATGGATGAAGACGTCACTTTCTGACCTGACCTCATAAACACATGAAATGATGTTTTAGTATATCTTGAGGATTATTCTGTGAACATCAACCTTCACCCATCAGTTCAAGTTACTTTGCATTAATCAACCTAGGAACGGTTCATATTGAGAAGTGCTGTTGGATTTATTCCGGTCTGTATGTTGTGTAAAGGGATTATTCAGCTACATTTACATATCTATGCAAGAAGAATATCTACGGCAAAATTTTTCTGAACATTTTTAAAATCTAATGCAAAAAGCGCTCACAAAAATACAATATTAAAAGAATTCTTGAGTTTAGAGTTTGAATGTTTTACATTAATAGATCATAAATCATGGGCTAAAAAGATTTGTCTTCATATTAATGTTACAAATATTTTCAACTCGAATTTAAATTTAATCGTGCTTTGCTTATAATATTTTTCTTTTGCTTTTTTTTTCTTTGTTACCAAGAGCCTTAACTTTATCTTTTTTGTCATACAAAATAGTTTCAAATATTTTTTGATAGTACAAGTTAGCATCTTTCAATAATCTCAAAATACATCTTAATAAATCTTAATGGTCACAATAAATTTCAATATCTGATATGTTGTCATTGGTTTAGTCATCTGTTGTGGACTATCATTACTTACATGCTAAGATATGCATTTTGATATGATTTAAAATTAACATTTTGTAATTATTATTTAATAAGAGTGAACATGATGCAGGCTTCATGATATGTATTTGATAATTGATTTCAACTTTTGTCTTCTACTTTATGAACGCCAGGCTCATGACGTGTTTTCTTAATGTGAAATTTGAAACTGCTTTTCATTTATTTCATGTCGTATTTTTCATCACAAAGAACTGAAAGTTCCTTCCAATCATTTTCTCAATTGTTAATATTTTAAGCGAAAATTTTAAAATGCTTACACTGTGTCGTTAAAAGAACGACGAAAAGTCATCAAAATGAAATTTACAATTTAGATTTTGTTATTTCCATGTGACTGATAAATTTTATTGAACAATTAAGGAATAATTAATGAGTAAAGTTGTTCATATTTTAATTTTGCGTTCACGCAACAAAGAACAAATCAATATTGCGATATGATGAAAAACGTCATTAAAATGTTTGAAAAAGTCTTTAGTAACACATCGAGATATATTCAATGGGAAAATGTTTAAATTTTCTTCTGAGAAATATTAGATTTAAAGAATCTTTTCATTATTACTTAGATATTATGATATGTTATGATATAAGGATACGTGTTAAGTTTTTTATCAGTTTTTTGTTAAAAATTCTATGCTTAAAGAACAATTAATTTGATTTCCATATTTGCTACAATCTAAAGTGCAGTTTAAAATGTTAGTTTGATCAAATACCGATAATCTTGTCTTATCACTGACACTGAATAAGAGAAAACTATCAGCAGAAGTCTACTTGAATTAATTGAACCAAGTTTATGTTCTTATGAGAGCTTTTGAAATGCTGTCACTAATATATAATTTTATATTAAGACTGTTTAATAGATTGATGAAAGGAAGTTATTCTTCATATGTTTAAAACGCAAATCAATGAATATTTTCAAAGTTTGGTGTACAATCAGATTTCCAATATTTATTTTGCTTTCTTTTAATGTTTCTAAATAATGAAAAATTCAATTTTCCTTTCATAGAAAAGAGAGCAAAAGCTAAACGATCAGATGCTAAAGATTTTGGCGTTAATTTATTTAATGAAGAAGTGAAATAATAATTTCTTGCAATTTTTGTAAGTTTTCTTTTCTCATTGCAATTTGAAAAATCATGAAATGTAAACATCCAATGTAAACTTAAAAGTTTTAAAGTTAAAAAGATTTCTTCCATCCAGCGCGTAATTTTAATAAAAAAAATTAAAAATTACCTTACACAATCTTAATTTAAAATATCTACATCAAACATGCACTCATTGTTCCAAAAATGGTAATCAAAGTCATTTCCCATGAGACTATCTTGCGTCCATCACTGCTCATAGCTGAACGTCCAAGATTCTTCCCAATGCAATTCATTCTTTCAAGCGGCATATTTTGAACAAAGTACTCGCGATGTTCCGAAGCCATCGTACACATTGGTCGTTTCTTCTGTGTCATTTCATCGTCACGATTTTTGAGTTCCTTCAGTAAATTTGGAAACCAAATCAACTCACAATCACAAATCAGTGGATTGTCTGCGAAATATAAAAAGCAATCAAACATTTGACAATTCATATCATTTGAATTTTTAATTAGTAAATAATATAAACGACAAGATTGGAAAATTATAATATTTATCCAATATTTTTCTCCTTTGATATTATCAGAATCTAAATAAACAATGAATAAATTCATAAAGTTGATGATAATTAGATATCACATTCTCAGAAATAAACATCAATTTCATCCTAAGGACATGAATGTTATTCTTAAAAGAAATTTTCATCTTATTTTTCTCTAATGCTTGCTGAACTGGAAGTCAACACACATCCATTCCATCTCATGACTTCTTTTGGAGACAGTCAAAGCAATAAAATACTTTAAGGATTTCATAACACTTCAAAGAATTTATGATCGTCAACTTGTTCTTATTTATACTAACATAACATCAGCTTAAGGAAGATGGAAAAACGACACGTGTGTTGAATCTGAAATTATTGAAGGGAGAATTGTGGGGAAAGGATGTCATTGGAAATGATTTAAGGAAACTAAAATTGCAATCAAAGATGTTGATGGATTTTGTTCACGTTCTTTTGTCGTTTTTCAATTATTCTGTCAATATCGACGTTTCCTTAACATCGTTATGTTCTATTTTCTCTTATTCACATAGGGGAAACTTTTCTATTCCTAAATATTTGAAAGCATCTCAAATTTCTTTTCTAAACTTGTGGTAAAGTTTTTTAACTTAACTAAGACATTGAAAGTTTTGAAGGATTAAAGTCTTTTAATCAACCAAGTTTCCTGCTGTTTAGAATTACATGAAAATGAAATAAGGGATGGTTGAAAATTTACGATTCGTTCGTTTCCTTTTGCAACAACGAAGTGAAAAGGTTAAACAATATAGAGAACGAACTACAGGTAGGGAAACAAAATCGATGTTTGAAACTTTTTGAGTCTTGAATAATTTACAAGAAGCCGAGGAAAATCATAGCGAAAAGAGAAAATAAAAATCACGATAACAAAAGAAAAGCCCAACTTACCCATAATGTCAACGACACGCAACGTGTCAATTATCGGCTCCCTGACCTCTTCGGGTATCCTCGTTAGTTTGTTATTCTGAATGCTCAATGTCTCTAAGGAATTCAAATTCTCGAAAGCCAATGCGGGTAAGGTTTTAATGCTTTTTAATTAGAGAAAAAAGGAGAAATTGACACAAGATTAATTTATCTTTTAAAGAAAGACTTTATTAAAAAGAAATAGATATTAGTAAGTACCTACACCAACTTAATAAAATATCGCATCGCGAATTATTCAACATCATAATTATAAGTGTAAACAAGAAAGCAATTAAATTTTACTAATTTTTGTTTTCTTTTCATTTCAATTTCAACAACAAAAATTCTTTTTTCACTGCATGCGAAAATTCTTGAGGGAATGAAAAATTTAATTTCTGAAAAATTCGAAGTCAACATAAAAGAGAGAAATGAACTTTCGGAAAAGTCAATAGAAACGTTGATGTTGATATAACAGGGGGAGTTAGTAAAAAGTGAGTTTATGGACATTTTAGAGTAGCAAGGAAAGTAAATTTTGTCTGATGTATGAACTTACTCATTTTTCTGAAGATTCAAGAATGTTATCGAGTCGCCATAGCCGGCAAAAGCATCTTCAGGGATATAGCTTATGTTGTTTGATCTCAAATCAAGGTGACGTAATCGATGAAGGGATCTCAAAGAATCGCTCGGTATCTGATGCAAGTTGTTATCTCCTAAACGTAAATATTGAAGATTTTCTAAAAGGTTCAGAAAGTGATAAAGAAAAATCATCATATGAATGAATTTATCAACAAATATTTCTTTGTACATAGAAGTGAAAAAGGAAAGCAAACGGGCTTCTATATGCACATCTGGTTTATGTACTTTTTCTCTACATCGATGGAAAGCTTTTTGTTCATGAGATAACTTGTTGCACAACTTTATTTATTTTTCGAATCATGCCAGGCGAGGAAAATTCAACTTTAGATTCGATGGAAACTTATAAACGAAAAGAGCTTTTCTGAGCTTTCGAAATAAATTGAATCGCTTGTTTCATCAATTTATAACGAGGATTAAATCGAACTATGACGCTGTTAATAAAATTCAATGGAAAATTGTAATCATAATTAAAAGTTAAGCTTTGCACTGACATTTATCGAATTTCACTATATTTTTTAATTAAAACTTTAAATCTCATTTGAAAAAGCTTTTCCAATAAAATTACATCAAGAAAAAATTCGCATTAAACAAAGCACTTTAAGGTCTTTTCATATTAAACTTTTCTTTCTTGCTACAGACTGTAGAAATTGCTTTTTAAGCTTGAAATATTCTCTTACGAGACGTTAACGCCCTAAAGCACCGTCTCGCAGCTGATTGAATATTCGTTGTAGATAAAAATTAATTAATTCCAAGTAAAAAAGCGTTCCAAAAAAATTAACTTTTCTTAGAACGTCGAAACAAAAAAACTTCTTAATCTCAAATAAAGTTTTCTCATTCACAAAGTTTTCTCTTTCGCAGTGTTGTAATCAACATTCGTTATCTACTCAAAGTAAGTAAGTTGGCAAATTCATTAAGGAAGTAAAGAAGGAATGAAATGATGAAATGAACTTACCTTCAAGTCCAGAGAAAGCGTCTTTGTCAACGTAGGTAATGTAATTTCCCTCAAGTTCCAGTGAGTTTAACTGTCTTAGATGAGAGAACACGTTTGCCGGAATTTGTCGTAATTTATTATGCGCCAATATTAACGAATCCAAATTCCTTAAGCCTTCAAAGTCACCTTCTTTAATAGTCTCAATACGATTTTCTTGAACTTCAAGCTTCTTTAATGTATCAAAAATTGAGAGCGCACGCTGGGGAATCGATGTCAAATGATTGCCGCCCAAATTTAGACGCTTCAATTTCCTGTCAAGTTTTATTTGTTTTCAAATGAATGATTGAAAGATTCATGCATAAATAATCATCAAGAAATTACTTGTCTAATCCTCGGAATGCTTCAGGCTCAATTCCTGTGATTCTATTCTCATAAAGTGTCAAAATTTCTAATGTATCTAAACCTTCGAATGCTCGATTGTGAATGATAGAAATTTTGTTATGATTGAGATTGAGAATCAACAGATGATGCAAGTTTTTCAGCGCACTCGACGGGACATTCTGCAATTGATTTTGTGATACATCAAGCTGCGTCAATCCTTTGCCTATTTCAAAAAAACAAAAACAAAGAATAAAGAAAAATTAAATCGGGTATAAATAGATATTTTATTACCAATAGATCTTTGGATTGAATGGTAGATAGAGTTGCTTCAAAGGAAAAAAGAAAATTTATGACCTTTCCTTCCATCCTACCATATACCAATGCTTAAAGCTTATAGGATTCTCAACGCTAGGTAAACATAGAAATACTATAAAAAATATTTATGTTCGAACATAAATTCAGGACGCCATGAAGAGAGACAGCTTCTACATGAAAATTTATTTATTTATCCACGACTGGGACAAGTGACTTGGAATCGGAAAGAAGAAAACTTTTTTCTTCGTTTCGTCTCTCTTGTGAAGCAAAATCAGCAACAATAACGAACAAAATATTGTCGTAGGTTGTTGTTGTTTGGTTATCGACTTTTTTCTAGTAAATAGAAGACATAATTCAAGTGAAAAGTCAGGAAAAGTAATTATTCGATGAGGAGATATCTGCCGAGAAATATTAATTAGCTTATGATATGAAAAAGCTAAGAGCTGGGAAACCTTATAATGTCATGATTGAGTTTCAAACTCCTAAATTCATCAGAAAGTTGGGATTACTCAACTAAATCTTTCAAAACAATACTTTATAAAATTTAAAACTTTTTTTTGGGGTTTTGTCACTTGAGGCCAGTTTGGTATATGAAATTAAAACTTGTTTAGGTCATTTCCTTCTAAACCCAAGCATTGCCTTTTTGGTCAATAAATTTATGATTTTACTATGAAATATTCAAATTTTATATTTATAATAAATTAATATAAACATAAAAGTTTAATGATTATTAATATTTTATTAACAAGCATTTTGTTTCCTTCCAAGAACTTTGCTTTTCAATTCAACTAGATGACGACAACCATCAAGCAACAATATTTGATGTTTTATATGTTTTATGACCCGTCTGGGAAATTAACTTTCTTGTGCACATCTTTCATTTTTCATTTCTTCATTTCTTCCTTCCTAGTATTTCTAAAAATGTTAAACAATTAGGAAGTTAGACAGTGAAATATCAAAGTGTTCGAGCTTAAATTTTTTCTAAGATTTACCCTCGAAACTTGTGAACTTCACAAAGAGAAAATTATGGATACATATAATTAGCTTCCATGTCAGCTTTATAATTTTATTGTGGTTAGCAGGCAATCGATAATTAACTATAATTGAAAGGGTTTTCAGCTTAATCAAGGATATCCCATGTAATGATTGTGGTTTAATTTATTAATCATTTTCGTTCATAATATTTTTAAAGAACTGAGTGAGTAAAACCATCAAATATCGATCGTAGGCAAAGCTAAAAATATCTTAAACGTAAACGAATGAGGGAATCAATAGCAACTCGAAATAATCTTGATGTGTGCACTATGCATATGTTATGAGCTATTCTTGTATCCAAATCTCTTTTATTTAGTTCTTCTAAATTGCTTACAAAAGCAGGCTCACATGTATCACGTCATATTATAATATTATTGAGAGAATTTCAACCTTAATCGAATATGCAGAGCACGAGACAAAATTAATGTGGAAGAAAAGCAAAAAAAAAGCTCGCAAGCACAAAACTCACGCGCTCTCATTCTCTCCATTTCTTCCCTGCTCAAAACAGCATGAAAAATCGATAAAATTTGTAATAAATTTCAATCCATACTCAGGGTAGGTAAACGAAGAAAAACGAATTAAGGGAAAATATTTCGTTATTAGAAACCATGAGACTAGAAAATTGAAAGAATCTTTAGCAGAAATATTTGCACAAGTTGTGAAGGTAATGCAATTATTAAGTGTTTCATATATGATGAATCCCTTTAAGCTTTTTTCCATTTTAATTTATATTAAAACTTTAGTCTGATAGGATAAAATATAAATCAGTAGAAAGAATTTCATTTCTTTCAGACTTTTTCTTGTTATCGTCGAAAATTACACTTCAAGTGCACTACAGTCTTAACCCGAAAGTAAGCCGCAGGCTTGCTTATTCGAATACAAGCCTTTTTTGGTCAAAAAGGCTTTTATTCGAGTGCGGCTTCTATTCGAGTTTTTCGATCGAATTTTAAGCCGCAGGGAATTTTTCAAGCAAAATTCGAATAAAAGCCGCGGCTTACTTTCGGGTTAAGACTGTAGCTTGGATCTGTTATGCTTTCGATGTAGAAATAATGAATGGGATGGAAGAAAAATTCACACGTTCTTTAATAAAGATTATTGACGAATGCTTCCAAGAGATGTAAAACCCCGTAGGGCTTTTATTTATAGAGATATTTTCTTCGACGCTAAAACTTTCTTTTCCTTCACTTTCATAAAAAGTAGATAAACACATAAGGTAAAGACAACCTGGGAAAAGCAACACGATGAGAAACAAGGAAGGATGATGATTAAATTACGTTTTCAGTTCATCGACGATTTTTCTTTCAACTCTAATGATAACATTCCAGCTTTGTGATTGTGTGAGTTTCGGAAGTGAATATTAAAGAGCGAAGAATTGCAAAAACACAGAGATAAAAAAGAAAATCTGGTAGAAAAACTCACCCAAAGAACTTAACGATGTCTCTTCAATGACAGCCAACGAACTGTTGTGAATCGTCAAATGTCGAATGTCCAAAGCGAGAAAAATGAAACCTTGTAGTTTAGGTAAACTGTTATGTCGAAGTTTCAAATAGAATATAATTGGGCTTCTCGGCTTAAGAGCAGTCATAGCTCTCGTGATGTGGACATAATCGGTTGCTTCGCATAGGATATCCAAACCATTCTTTTTCACTTGACATAGACATGGACTTATCTCACTGGCTGGCGGACATGTTTGTTGTTGTGGATTGTTTTGCTGGCCATTAATTATTTGCGCGACAAATAGCAGCACTGCTAATGCTACAAGTACTGAATTCGATCGCAACACACCCGCCACTATTTCAACTGACGCATTTTCCGATGTTTTCGACGAACTACGCTTATCGGCTGACGGCATTATGCTGAACAGCCGTCTGTGAACGCTTCTCTCTTGTGTTGCGTCACGTTGAATGAGTTATTTTGTTGAATGTTAATGTCTATCATAAAAGACGAGAAAGAAAATAAATCAAATTAGAAAAAAATGCTCACTCATTTCTTTCGATGCGACAATTCGCCTTAACAAACGCCCACGTTGGAATTCTTTTTTATTTTTCACCTCCATCAATTATTCACTTTATAATTGATCCGTCAACATGAAAGAGAAAGGAAACATTTTCCGCCTTCTCGCATTTCTTTTTCATTGAGAACAATAAAGTTAAATGGCTCAAGAAATAATTCCAGGTGACTAAGAAGCACCCCGGAAAAAGCCAAACGAACGAAATTGCGACTTTTCATCGATTTTTTTCTTTTACGATCCTTCAACATAAATGACGTCAACTTACAATGCTAATGAATTATTTTCGCTTTAAGTATTCTGAGATAGATTAAGTCTAAGAAGACTTACTGTGACCAGAGTTGGGCGATCCGAAATGTGTGTTGGTGTCACTGACAGATATACAAACGTTGATTTTCCAACTTTTTGTAACATAGCAGAGTGGACTGCAACACTGTCGTTGACACAAACATTCATTTTCATTCACAGTAAGTGTCCTGACTCAGAAAAGGCAACAATTAAATGATTGATTTTCCATCTAGTGAAGAGAGCTTTAAATTTGGTCATGTCTAAAACTTTCCATGCTGTTCATATTCGTCACTTCCCCTCATAACAATCATTAAAAATAAATTGTGAATTTTTCCATGAGTCGCTTAGAAATTTTTTTTTTTGGATTCAATTATTACAACATTCGTCCATTGCGTTTAAATGGTTGGTGATAAAATTGAATGACGTGTGGGTGTGTTCATGATTGAAGCATTGGGAAACATGAAAAGCACTTCGGTTTAAATTTGAGTTGATGCCTTGTTGCTTCAGTTTAACATGACTTTAGGAGGTTTGCGAAATGTATTATGTTGCATGAACCTTCCTATTCCATCAACAAAGTAGAAGGAAAAAGGATCGGAATCAATATTAGGTTCAACTCGAATTTTCTACTCGATATGTTCTCTACAGTGAACACAGGAAAAGGTCTAAAGAAAATTCACTGGCAGATTTGACTGGCAGGAAGAATGAGTACAAAGGGAATTCAATTCAATTATGAAACTACATTTTAAGATTTATTAAGGATATATCCAAAAGACAAATATTTTCAATGCTCTAAATTTAGAAAATTATTTTCTTTTCGAATGTTTGTGATGTCAAAGTATGAGAATTTTTTTTTCAAAATAAATTATTTATGAATTCACCGAATCGTAAAGTGGAAATAAAGAATTATTATGTGAAAACAGATTGAAAATTTAGAATTTTCTAACTACTTAAAGGAGTACACCGGCACACACTTTGAATAATCACAGCATTGCCAAAAGCGACACTTTAATTAACTATAAACGGTGTTGCGACAAACAAAAATTAGCATAAATTTTCGGCAATTTTTGGTTAGATAATCTAATCTCATCTGTACATGCCTTATAATGATAACGTTGATGTTGAAAAACTTAATGATGAGATTATATCTTTTGAAAAATGGGCTGCTGGGAAGAACTTGAAGATTTTTCTTCGTTAATATTTTTTCCTTTTGCATACCCAAATTTCTAAAAATAACAAAATATCGAAATCTCTCAGCAAAGTGTCATTCTGAAGATTTATCTTAACTCCCATAAGTCTTCCATGGATGGGAGAAAATGATAATCATATTATGAAGAATGACGATCCTTTTACTAGTTATGCGTAGTGACAAAACAGAAGCTCCCAAACTATATATTCCCTATTCACTGTTTAGAAATTTAATGACCAACTTGTTGCATTCGTTGCTTAAGGAGTAATTTACAGTAACAACTACGTTGAGGGATTTCTTTGTCAATAACGAAAGCATCTAATATGGAAAATGAACAAATTGATTGTTGTCAGAAAAAACATTCCATGCAACTGTCAACATGTTGACTTCCTTAACCGAATAAACCAACAGCACGATATAACCGAAGAATTAATCTGAGAATTAAGATTTATTCTAAATCTTATTAAGAAAGAGAAGTCACGTATTTTTATCTTTTGCAGATTAAGTCCAAGAGATGAGATTAAAAGCATAAAGGGAAGAACAAGAAGAAATATGTTCAAGTTTTGCAAACGGTAGAAAAGTTTTGTCGAACATGGATTTAGTTTCGTACCGGTTGAAGATGTATGAAGTTGAATTGCTTACCTTTTTTGTTCAAGTGGTTTAGATACATCACAATTCGATTCTCATTTATCAAATCGATCTAAGGATTCACAAAAGTTAAGCTTTCTTTTATTTTTTTCGTACCTACATAAGCATTTGTGTATAGTTTGAATCGAATATCAAAAGTCAGCACATGTAGAATTTATCCTGTTACAGTCTCATGCTGAGTTTTTAAGAAAATCAAGATTTGGAAAATGCTCGAAGCATGAAGAATGAAAACAGATTTAAACTTTATCATTTGAATAATGTGCTAAAAAATTTATGTAACCACATTATTCTCGATTTGTTCAAAAAATAAACTTCAACTATGCTCTTTTGAAACTTCACATAAAATGTTTTTATAATTTTCCTTTTCAGCAAACCTGAAAGTAACATGTTAACGTCATATTTTGAAAAGACTCATATGGAACGAAATGGCCATGAATTTGAGAATGAAATGAAATATTCATGTTGAAGTGCATAAAATATTTTTGCTGCCAGATGTGAAGCAATCGATTGTTAAAAGTTTTTTTATCGATGCAATTGCTGACAGTTCTATATTGTCTGCTTTTTTATTAGAATTCCATGTCACAGCTGCCATCTTTAAGTTAAATATTTTTCGTATATTTTATAAAAATAAACATTGTAAGGTAACGACAACCAATATTAAATATTCGATTTAAAAGCTTCGAAAAGCTCGTAACGTTCCAACGTGAAAGCCTTTATCATGAACAAATAAAATCTAATGACATTTCTCTTTAGAATATAAACGAATGTACCACATCAACTCAACAGTCTCGTACTCAATGGTTTTAGTATTGGAAAAAAAGGAAGAGAAAAGTGAAAATTTTATGTTCATTTCTCTTCAGTGACAGACGCTAAATACGAAATGATGACACAACACTTAACATCTCTCCCTCTTCAAATTCATAAATCCATCTCGGTTTTCTGGTAAACTTGGGTGATGAAAATGGTAATCAATGCCACTTGCGTCGTACTTCCTAAGCACCACATTTAAAAATCAATATTTCGACCTTGACTTGAGGTGGAGCAAATTTCCTTCTTCACTTTTGAATGTGAAATGCGGTAAAATACATCGACTATTAAACTCCTGTCTTCTTTTTATTTCAGACATATTTTATATATATTTTCCGAAGCATTTGTCTCTGTTTTGGGAATATTAAACATTAATGTTGATATATTTAAAGCGATGAAGCGCGTCTCTATATGAGTTTTTTATGAGCAAGAAGTTACTTCTTTTCACAGAGTAAGCACATAAATATATCTAAAGATCTTTACAACGAGAGTTGATAAGCTTTACTGGGATTAACAAGATTTTGTTCTCTTTTCTGCTTGATTGAACTTTGAATCTTCTGACTCTAAGAAATTGTTTAACTTTTCTTTTCTTTAATCATACAATCGTAAGCAAGAAATGAGATTTAAAATTGAATGCTTAAATGCTTTTTAATCTCTTTTGACGATGAAATTGTTTGAGGAAAGAAATTTGTGATTATTTAAAATAAATTCATAATGTTGAGAAGTTTCAATAAAAGTCAATTTAGAAATGTCATCCGAACCCTGCTTCACCTAAACATGAACAATGTTGTTTGCATTTACTCGTCAATTCTTCTTCCTCATACTTTTGTGTCAAAACCTGTTTTGATGTTGCGATGGGTATGCACAGCCACTTGCTATTATCAATATGGAAGTAATATCCGTTTCTCTCTATAAATATATTTAAATTTCTAATTTTTACACAATATTAGTTTTGTGTTTTATCTTTTTACAAAGCGAAATGCTCATTCAAGGTAAACTGACGACAACTCTCTGGTCAAAGTTTCGCTCTCCCATCGATAAACTATTTACAACAAAAAAAAAACCAAAAAAAGAAGCAAAAAACTGTTGAATGTCAATATAAAACGAAAAGCATTTTAAAATCATATGTTAGTGTTGATTGTGGTATAAGATTGTGAACTATTGCAAACGTTAGTAGAGAAAAGTTTCGATTTTATTGAGTCGTAAAAGCATTTTAAACGAAATCATAATGAAGGTACTAGCAATTCAATTGATCATAAAAAAACCTGTGAAAATTTCAATTCCCATATTTGATAATCTAGATGTTAGTGGCATTAATTTTGATTCAAATTGTTTCGAGAGTTATCTGCATTCCAAGTTATGTGATTGAATCATATAGTAAAGTTCGTTTACAACAGCCTACGATGGGACTTTCAGTTGAAAGTCATATGCCAATGGATATCATTTTGAATCCAGTTCTTGCTGATGAGCCACCAGCACAGGTTGATAAAATGGAAGGAATTTTTGCAAAGAATGAAGAGATGAAAAATATCAAAACGATGAACATCGATGAGGAAACAATCATGAAGTCAATAAATACACAAAATCTTCCGCAGAATAGTAACGACGATATTAAAGATAAAAATACTTTTGATGAAAGTTATGGAATCGTTTTGGGACATGAGAAGCCAGTTGGATTTACACTCGCATCCAATTCCACCTCAACTGATGCAAACTCCACTCAAAATTGATATTCATTTGAAGAAAGTTAAGCTCTGCTCAGTGTTTGTAAATAAAATTCAAGACATTCGGTCTACAATGCCGACATCATTTTTATGATATTGTGATAAATAAATTTATTGTGACTCTGATCTGACTCACAGAAAAATCGAGTAAATCTTAAGCGTCACAGCAGAAAATTTAAAAAAATAAATAAATAAATTTTCTTGAATTATTTATTTACCAAAACTGCAGATTTCCTACAAAATAAATATTTACAGAATAAAATCTTAATTTTAAGGCATGTTGGAAACATTTTTAAAGATCTTTCATGTGTTGTACAAAGTCAACCCTAATCCTATAAAGCAATCTAATTAGGTAAATTTGAAACTTTCTCTCAACGGAATATCAATTCAAAGCTATCTCATTTCCCTTTTCTTTCAAGATTAAGACCAGGAAAAGTAGGATGGAAGAAATTAATGCAAGTAATTTATGAAACATTTCTTGTTAACAGAATGGAGGCAAGAAAAGAGTTTGAATAAATTATTGTACTTTGAAGATTATTTTCAGCACATCCCGGTGTCTTTAAAATTTTTCCTGTTCTCCTTTGCGATGTTCCTTCTTTGTCACAATTGAATAATCAGATGAAAGTTTCATAAGAAGATTTCGGTCGTCAATTTTGCTCATTCTTTTTATCAAACATAATCAGACACAAAAAATTACTTTTCAAACCTGATTTGTCGGGTGATTTTTCATCTTAGATGTCAGAATAAATATTTTTCGTTTTATTCACATTGGTTGAATATTCATTCTGAAGCATTCAACATAATGATGATTGTAGAATGCTGAAACAAGTGAAGTAGCACTAGACTAAATAATAACTCAACAATAAGGCTGGTGTAGCCAACTAAATATTCCAGTACTTTATTCGTCAACCGTTGGATTATTAATGACTCCCGTCATACATACACATTAACACCCCTTTCTTAAAAGCTATCAACCCCTACATTCGTTATCCCGTTTTCTATATCTCTACAATGATGCTTTTAAATATCATTGTTCATTCAAAAGTTATTTCAAGAGTTCTTTTTCTCCTTCCTACTCAAATCCCCCGGAAAATTTTCTTGTAATGGAAATACAGAGCATTTCCACCATAAAAACTGTACGTCATTAAGAGCCCACATCTTCTCTTATTCTCTGATAATAAACAAACATTTAACAGTCTTGAATTAAGATGGAAATTGTTTTGGAACCGGAGAGTTTTGAAGCGAACTTTAAATTGAGAAAAGTAATTATGCTAACGCAATATTCTAACAAAAAATAAAATGGTTACGATTGGATGACTTCAAAATGTCTGCCACCACTCTGCATTAACTTTATGCAAGTCTTCTGTTGCTCATTTCCTTGTGGAATTTCTTGTTACAAAAATTTCTCTCACATTTATTAGTAGCAAAAGGTTCACTAAAGCAATTTTCAAGTTTAAACAAAAGCACATCAAGACCAATGGGATTTGATAGACGTAAACAATAGAATGCTAGCTTTGTTTGATATCAACGACCAGATAAAGTTTTCAAACAGACATAAGAGCTTATTTTTGATGTGAAATGGAAGTTGAAGTCGTAGTCAGGGAAATGAATATAAAGTCAAGTGTGATGAGAGAAAAGGAAAAGGAAGAACTTTCATTTCTCCTTTCCATACTTAGGATTATCCTTTGTCATTTCCACATTTCCATACTCTAACAAGTTCTGCAAGTGTTCCTTTTTATTATCAAAAGCCCTCTAGAGACAGTCTACAATAACATTTTTATTCATTTTGTCCCTAAAATGTCAATCGATGAAACTCATCTCGACCTTTCCTACCAAATTAATGTTAGTTATAGAACAAACGGATATCGATTTCATTGGTGATCAAAGTAAAGTGTGTTGATGGAGTTGAATCATCACTTCATGAATAAAATATTAAAACCTTTACAGCTTTTTGATAATCAAACACAAACTTACCAATTTTTATTGGAGAATGAAATACATAATCCCATTTCTAATTCGAGAATGAATTTAGTTTGCGGGTTGTGAATATTTTTTTCCTTTTCACTGATTTTTTCACTTTCCTTAATTTTCTTTCCTTCTTTCACAGCAATTTTCTTCCGCACTAATTCTATTCTTATCTAGAAAAATGTAAATGAACTAAAATAGAGAAAAACGGAACAGAAGAGAACGATTTTAATATTAGGTATCTTATGTTTCACTTTTTAATCATCATCATTGTGTTGGAAATTTAATTTCCAGTTTTAACTTTCAGTCCAATTACGAAAATCTTTATGAAAGTTTTAATTGAAAATCCCTTTAATCAACTATCTTAAGATAGCTTAATCAGGGATGAAGAAAAGTTCAATGACTTTGAGCTTGCACACTGCGAAGATAAAAAACTTTAAAGCTTGAGCGTTAGAAGTAGAAATAAATCCTTTTTTCACATTTCTTTCCTTCCATGAATGAAAAACTTATCTCTTAACAATATTTCATACATTTTGTCGTGTCTTTTATATGTTAACACCATTTGTGTTGTTTCACGACACCTGCTTTTATGTTTCTCAATGTAAAACAAGATGAATAGCGTTGATCCAGGCGACCAACAATTCAAATCATAAAGCTTTCATTCGTGTGCTTTACATTTTTCGTTCTCTGTTACGAAAGTACGAAAAGAAACCATTAAAAGTTGTTTAAAACTACAACCAAGATAAAATATTAAATAATAAAATGAAGTTAATAATAAGAAAAGTTTAAAACTTTCAATAGGGGGTAAAGGCTTAATTTGATAAGTTCTCCCCAAAGAAACATAAAGAAGAAAACGGAAAAATAAAAAGTTGAAAGAAAGAGAACTTTAATTGAATTTGAATGAAGTTAAATGTACGAGATTGCCATGAAAATTCCGTTTTATTATCACGTTCTGAACTGCTTTTTTTCTCTTTTTATTCCTTTCACTTGGAGCATTAACTTATATACACACAACGTTATAACGAATATAAACACTAAAGTTTTATTAAGCTTGAATCTCACATTCTTGTGATTGCTATAATGTATTCAATACACACATTTCACATTTTCTCGTAATTTTTTCTCTATTCAGTTTCATTGAGATCATTAATATTTGCAAGCTCAAAAGAACGACCTTTTGTACATCAATTTATTAAGAACGTTTCTAATTTTTTGAGTTGTCTGATAAAGCTAATGAATGAATTAATTTATGTACATTATCAAGCCTTTTGCTGCGAAGATTTCGAATTTTGTTTTTTCAACTTATTTCACTTTCATAAGATAAGTAAAAATTATTCTGTTCCCAGGCTTGTTCTACTAAGAAAATTGTTTTCAATAAGCAGATATCTGTGTATCCATCTAACTATTGACCAATTTAAAAATTTATCATTCATTCATTCGTTCATTCATTCATGAAGCTTTGTGTGTACACGGCGTGATGATGATGACGACAATCATGATAATGTGGAATCACAGCACTTCACTAAATTGAATAATTCCCATCTTGCTTGACACATTGTTTAATATAATAAAATAAAATCGCCAAGGTCAAAAGACCATACATAATCCACAGAGCAGAACTAAAAATGAAACTGAATAAAGAAGCTATTCGTTCTGTATGACTCCCTTTGGCTTAGTGAGATTAGGGTAGACTCCTTGTTTCTTTTACTGCCACCGTAATTCAATTTCATTCTTTTTTTTTATATACACAGAAATTTTTCGCTGCTCATGTTTTCCACCGCGTTTTTAGGCTTTTACCATAGCATAGACAAAAGCAAAAAAGAATTTAATGTATTTTTTTGCTTAAATTTATTTTCAGATCACAAACACACAACATATCTACACCTGTAATTAATTGAGTTTTTCTAAATAAATACGATGAATCATCAAAATTTCCACACTTTTCCAAAAGCAATTTTTGTTAATTTATTTCATTTCGTCTTATTTTTTGCCGACTCTTTTTTGGAAATTACTAAATTATTTATTTTTCCACGCTTATAATATTTACTTTCAGACACAGTTAATTAACACAAATGATGAAAAATATTAAATGAAATTATTTAAGAACCTTACGATAGAACCAAAAATATTATAAACAGATCACCGACTAAATCATTCTACGAAACATTCTCGACTAAACGCAATTTCAGTTTGAATCCTCTTTCTACTTACGTACTTTGCTTTACGTTATTACGTCAATGCTTCAATGCTTTACGTATCGATTTAGAACGTTTTCGAAAACGTATTCAACTTACTCTGTTGATTATCTTTCTTCTTCAACTTATGTTACATCTGGTTGAGGTTTTCTTTCTGCAATGTTCTGCCGCTACATTTGACGTTACACAACGAAAACGTAATAGTCTAAAATTCAAACAAGTGGCGATTGTGCGCCCTACGAATTTTTCCTCAATTTGTGAAAAATTCTTCTTCTTGTTACAAAAAAAAGTTGTATCGAGACTTACATACGAATGAAATTACCTTAAAGCGTTTACATTCTAAACAGATGATTGCAAATTTTGTTCAGAATTATACTGCTTTCTGCTTTCTGCTAATAAAAAATATTATAAAATATTCCTTTAAAATAAAGATTTCTTTTCTCTGAATATAATTTGCAATTTATGTGGTTTATTTTTTTACTTTTGCCTTCTGCAGTGTGAAAAGCGAAGAAAAAACTTCCTACCTAAAACTTAAAAAACTAGGTCAAAGTGGCGTATTGACTACAAGAAAAAGTTTATTGTGCGATGAAAGAACTTGGCAGAAAAAGACTCGCATAATATAATTCTTGAAAAGCATGCAATATTTCGAAAAAAGTAAATACATCAATCATGACATTTAAGTAAACATAACTCGCACACAATAAATTTTCTCACAAGAAATCTTGTAAAGATTACCACGCGATCGTGACATACCGATCGGTGATCGTGAAATGATAATGTGTGAGTATTCATTGCACACACAAAATTTCATTCATATTTTTCATGCAATTAAGTAATTAACTCATTCCCCTATACATACATATCATCTTCGGCTTCACACAATTTAATATTTTGATTTGTATTTAAAGCCGATTACAATGAACAGAGGCAAGAAAAATATAAAATATAAAATATAAAAACAGATATCGCAATCTCATTTTATACTTCAACTCCGCTTCGCGTTTCTTCTCACATGCTGCGATAGTATTGTGTGTAGTTTTTCAATACATTGCTTTAATAGTCTCGGGCAATTCTTGACTTTACACACATTTTATTTTTTTCATAAAATTAGTTTCAGTTTTCCTCGACTTTTCTGCAAAGACAGACGCGAAATTCGCGAGTTCACAAAAATAAAGAAAAAAAGAAGAGAAATATTTGAAGATTCTTTTTCTTTGATTCGTGGTCGGTGGTGTGACTAAAAATATTTATTTTGTGGTTTTTATTTTTTCGCTTAAAAGGTACACAACGAAGGAAAAATAAATAAAAACGAAGTTGAGTTTGTTCACGGAATATTTTTCTACTAAATAAAAATGTTTGCGACTTTCGCAACCGTCTCAAAACTAATTAGTAGTTTTTGCGCGAAAAGAAATGAAAATTATAATTTTTAAATGTTTTTTATCATGTTTACTATTAATCCAAATGATTTGAAATCGACAGCAGTGAGATAACACGCAGTTTTATTGATGTAATCGATTAGTTTTTAAACAGATGGTTCAATAGTTCAAACATCAAGCATACAAATGTATCAGCTTACAAATTTGCTCTTGAACTGACAAACAATTCCATTGAATTTTTATTGTTCGGGCAAGTGTTGGCCTCTTGGGTGCTTAAATTTCATGGAGAGAAAAAATCAAGTTGCTTGTTGTTTTGGAAGCTATTCCATTAATTAAATAAATAGAATCTTAAATTGAAATGAAATGTTTCATCTCTAGCACTTGTGCGGGCAAAGAAATTGAAAAGAAAGATATTTCAAGAGTTTTTTTTTACCACACGAAGAGTCTTAAGAATCACTAGATAGACGCGTCAGAAAACTCTCCAGCAGTGTAATGAGAATACAACAAATGAACTGAAAGCAATTCAGCTTCATTATTGAGAATAATTCAAACATCTGAATATTTGCTTATTTTACGCAATTCTTAGCGTCATCGCATTCCTTGCTTTTATTTAAAAACACGCAACCAATTTCAGGATACAATTTCTGTTTTTTACGGCATAGCATTTAATAATAAGAGATGTCTTGATTGTTTAACTTATTTCGTAAAGCCTTTTAACATTTAACATGCTTTAAACAAAACGAAATGTCTTCGCTTCTAGTTGAGAAGCGAATAATTTAGTTAGCGAGTAATAAAACGCATGCATGCTAATGGAAAGAAATAATTTGACTGCTGCTTAAATATTTATTTATTCATATTTCTTTATTTGAATTACTTAGTTGCCTTCCACTTTATAGTAAAATTCGTCAAATTTACTTTCAAAATTAAAATTCTTGAATCGTAAATGAAAGAACATTTGAAAAGTTATTTTACTATCAAAAAGTTTTTGTGATCATTCAGAAGTCTTTAATTTTGATATTTTTAATGAAGATTCTATGCTAAATTATTTATCACAAAAGAATCTTAAAATGAGCTTCAAATTGGCTTAAAAGATATGATCAGAGATATCACAATTCTTCTCATCTTTACGATCACTTTGTCAACACATTCAAACATTAAGCAGACATAACAGCAAAGAAGTCAACCAAAAAGATAAATGAAGTTAAATTTGAAATTTAAATGAGACCCAAAAGCAGCCTTTAAACTTGCTAAAAACGTGTGTGTATCATCTAAACACCATATACAAGAGCAAAATAAAGAAAGAACCGGTATTCCCAACCATCAAGTCGTAAAAGATATTGAGCTATTATTTTGCAAATATTCAGACGCGAAAAAAGTGAGAATGTTCTGTTTCTGTTTTCGTTGAATGAGAAAAAAAGCGAAACGCTAAAAATAATAATAAAAAAAATGTTTCAGAGAGCTTCGAAAATGTGAAAATGTGTTCATTTCGAAACTTTATGCATACGATCTCGTGTTTCACCTTGATATCATCTCTACAGGTAGTGAATAACACCCACAAGTGTTTATATTCTACAACTATCGATATTGTCATGGCAATGAAAGCCCCACGAGCAGCACCGCACCACTATTATTTAGAATGTGAATTTTAATATGAAACATCTACCTTTCATCTTCATGTTGCTTCTTCTTATTCGATTTTTGCTTTGCTTTCATCATCGCGAGTAAAAATAAACAATGTGTTTCTTTATTTCTTTAACATTTTAATGTCACACTCACTTACGCTTTTAAACATTCGTTTGAGACATTTCATTAAAAAACTCATTCTAATCACAATACTCGCTTGAAATGTTTGTTTGCTGATAGATATGCTTTTTTTACTTAAACTAACATGTGTGTGAAGTCAAATCTTCCACATTTTGTAAGATCATAAAGTAAATGTTCAATTAATTAATTCATTTATTTGATGTTGAAAGAGTTTTTATAATTTAACGGGAATGTGCATAAATTTATTAATGATATTGGCAATCAAATAAAGTTTAATTCAGAGAAGTATTTTAAATGAAAAGTTGTTTCATGCATAACTTCTTTCGAAATAAACCAAGCCAAGATTTTTCGTGCTTGTTAATCTAAATTCATAAAAGAAACATAAAGTATACTTATGGAAATTCTTACAATCATAAACCCTAAAAAAGAAATTTAAGACCGTTTCTAGGTCAAAAGTTGCATCAACAATGCGTACTTAAATTGTTATTGTTCTCATGTTAGTAACATCTAAACAAGAAATCATTGAACTGTGAACAAAAGTCTTCTGACAGAGTACAAGAAGAGAATGAGTAATGCAATGTACTTGACGTTTCTTTGATCATTCATGACGGACATTTGAAGCAATGAACTACAAAAAAAATATTTTTCTCAATGAAAATTTTTATAGCGTCACGAATTGCATTTTTATTTTTTCATGAGCTTTGTACACATTTTTACATCTAAATACCATAAATGGGAGTTGCAAAATATCTCTCAAGGTTCATTTTAATTTCTTTTAAGGAAAAAAGTTTAAGAAACTTACTCTCTAATAATGAATGTCAATAATAATCCCGGAAATCTTAAAAAAGCCTAAAAGAATTTTCACATATAAGGCATGTGATGGATTTGCAGTGTATTTAAATAGTTTAATTTTCTCCGTCACACTAGCCCTTCCTTGACTAGCATCAAGAAACAAGCGAACACAATTTGTCTAATGAACACCGCTTTGAAGTTTGTTTGCGGTAATTGCAAATACTCGTGAGCTTTTTATAATGCAAATTTCACATCCGATATCGCCAGCACGAATATTGAAAATTAAACAAATTTTAATGCGAGTCGCCAATCGTGTGTGGGAGAATACAAAAGCTGCTAAGTGATGACGTGATCTTTTATTCGTTGGAATCCAAAGAATCTTTTACAAAGATAAATATTTGAACGCTCATAAAATTCAGTTTGAATAGCGATTGGTGCTTGTGGCGTTACTTTTTACGTTGGTGTTCCAAAGTGTTCTTTAAATTCACTCTGAGTAGGTTAATCACAATTGGTAAGTACGCCACAAATAGAACGTTTATTCATGTTTCATTATGCAGGTGGATTAATATTCGTTTAACAAAGCTAATTAAACAATACATTACTGAATTATTGCCGGTGTTATGAATACGTATTCGCGAAATAATCTCGGAACGCACTTATCATAAATTTTATCATTAATGACTTGATTTAAAACACCTACTCAATATATAGATTTATATACAGTGAACCCTTGATATAAGAAGAGTTTAAGGGAGCGGGAAAAAGTGTAACACATGTCGAGCCAGATGAAACGTACTATCGAGTGAATTGTTGTATTGATAGTTTGTTATATCAAGTTCAAATTGTATCAGGTTCACTGTATGTACATGTGTATGAAGCATTTAACGTGATTCAACTTAGAGATTTGCTACAAATGAATGCATAAACCTTGTCGTCTGACACATCAATAACAAAAATAAGTTTAAGCTTTTATACGTGGAAATGAGCTAAAAACCGAAAGTTCATTACAAATATTTGCTAAATTAACTTTTATGGAACCATCAATGGCGTTTAATTTAATTCTAATTTAACATGAAATCAGATTACATAAATTCAGTGTTAAATCTTTTTAATGTGTATAGCAGACATCATCGTGAACGCAGCAATTAAATCATTGAAACGCCCACGGCAGTGATGAAAGACTTATGAATTTATTTTTCTTAGGAAAACACAATATGGATGCATTGCGAAATAAATTTTCACATTCTCGACACGATTCCCATTTTAAATTTGATATCTAATTCATTTAAAATTCGAAGAGAGGTTTTTATGATTTCTTTCTCTATTTTATCTATTCGTTTTATTTACGACTTTGTTAATCAAGTCCTACATCTACTTAGTCGTTTTTTTGATGTATTTATCAGGAAAAGCGAAACGAAATTAAAATGTGTTTCATCCGGTAAACCTACACAAAGCTCGTAAGAAGCCACATGAAAAGTGACTCTTATAACACTAATGGACTTTGCTTACTTATATGGAAATTATGCGAGATGACAGAACGTCATATTCGTACGAATAGATTTTTGACGAATGAAACAAAAGCCTTGGCAACAGCATATTGTGTTTATCTATGTGAGGAAAGGTTAAGGAGGTGAAAGACAAATGTGAAACCACATGACTCAATAAACTTTAACAGCTTTCCCTCACACAATTTTAGCATGTGTCAAAGTATTCTTCTGTGGGGGTTTCCATGGAGGGAAATGAACTTCATCTTATTAAACATAACTTTGGAAGTATTAAATGAAATATTAAAGGTCGAACATATTCTTAATTAATTAGGGTCAGGAGAGAAAAGGGAAACGGTTTTGATTATTTTACGACCTGATTTTAATTATAAATATTCCACAATATAACTCAAACTAAGTAGATGTGTAGTTTATCTCTCGTACGTTTATACAGTAAGCAAAAACTTGACATGTTTGTAAGAAAACTTGTTGTGAATAATTGAGACACTGTCACAAACTCGTTTCAATCTTAAAAAAATGAATCATTTGGCGACTTTTGAAAATTTTGTTTTCATCTCGAAAGAATCAAGCGAGACGGGGCAAGAAAAATCAACAAAGAAAGAAAATTTAATTTATTTTTAACCCTCACACTAGAATCACGGTAATATTTCGTTGAACAAACTTTTTATTTCTATTTTACATGTTTCTGATCCAAATTTTTCTTTTTGCATATTTTTGCACTTTATTAAAATGTCAATTTTGTTGGCAGGAAAACATAAATAAATCATGACATCGACAAGGGAAGTGAGACGAGAAGAATATTCAACGAACGTTGTTCGTCATTTGCAACCCACTCGACCACTATCACCATACTCGCAAAAGTCAGAATTCGACAGCAACTTGGGTAAAAAGCATCGATATCAAGTGAAAGTGAATTAAATTTTAAGATGGAGAACATATTTTTCCACAGATTATATTCTTGATGATTTACAGCAAAGCATCTCTCGTCCCGGCAGTTCTCTAGGCCAACCAATAACTCATCATTCTAGTCATCGAGATATTCAATATTTGAATCCAGTCAATACAACAACAACCTTAAGAGAACGATCATTGAGTCCCAATTCAAGTGTAAGTCAAGTTTATTTTTTATTTTTTTATATAATGTGTTGAGATAAGCAAAACATAGAAAGTGAATGACTGTTGAATTTGAGTGACAGTTATTTGTATAAGAAAAAATGTCACTCGACATTGTTTAGTCTCAAAATTTCACTAAAATTGCGTCATTTTCACGTCTAGAAGTCTAAGATCAGAAATTTTTCTTTCTTTCAGAACAAAATCTATAAAACATCAAAATACGAATACTCAACAGCATCGAATAGCAGCAATTTCAATAAATCATCAAGTGGAAATTATAATGAAATCAACAAGCTCGATACACTTTTGAATGATCTTGAACACGAACGTACTGCAACACTTGACCGAAGTATGACAAAACTTTTTCATGATTCAGACAATTGCAACCCAAAACTTTCCTTCAAATCAAATTGCAATTTCAATTCCAAATCGTCGGATGATATTATTTTTAGATTCCTGATGGTTTCAATCGTTTCAGTGCCCGTCTCACGTCTATAAGCAGATGAGAAATGTTTATTCCAATTACTCTTGTGAAAATCTTTTCCTATCTAAAAATAAATTTTCATGAAAATTTAAAAAATCTTACTCACATTTTTCACAAATTTTTCTTTTTTTTCATAGACAAGCGAAGCTCTTCCAACAATATTGGCATCGATTCAGCTTTACTGTAAGTAAATATGTATTGCGTTAACCTTCATCATAAATTCTTCTGCTTTACTTTTATATGACATTTCACACATGAAAGAAGGAACAAACGATTGAAAGACTTTTATTCATTGCATTTTCTTTTTATTTCTTTATTTTTATTTGTAAATAAAACAGTGAACCAGGTACGAAGGTCATAAAAACTACAACAACATATACAAGCAAGAATCCCGTATCACGTGAACTCGTCTTTGAATCGCCTGATCCATCCATTAATCGTTCGTTCCGTCATCAGAGTCCTTCATCATATGAAGCACGGACAGTTGAATCAACAACTAAACGAAACGTTTCTTACAATGATGATGGATTGTACGGAAAACCACGTCGAACAATTTCGCCGACGCCAGTTAACAGTAATCAACATTATGTCACTGAGACGAGAACTCGTACTATAACGCCCACGCCTGTAACTAATACAGAGCGATACATTACTGAGACTCGTACAGTTAACAACGAGGTGGTGCCCATTCCGAAGAGTGCTAATTACAATGAAGTTGTTCGTGTGGAAAACTCAACCGGTCCTGACGTCCTTCGTGACGTTCAATTATCTGACGATATTCTTCCAAAGCCGAAGACAAAAGTTACAACAACGGTTCGAACTTACACTTATGAAATTCCCGAACCAGATGCAGGGTATCCAAATCGTGACCCACCCAAGAACACTGCAATGTTTTACAAGACCGAACGTAATGAAAGAAGTGCCAACTACTATCCTAATCAATCGCCACCAATTATCAACGATTATCCACCGTTGACAATTCAAGAAGTTCCACCACAGAACACGACAACAATTCATCGTTATAATGTGACAAACACGTCATCATCGCCTCCTATTGAACCACAACAATTTCAGCAAGTTCCACCTGGTGGCATCACAATTTATCCTCCAAATCAAACGACAATCTATAAAACGGAGACAGTAAATACAACTAATAAGCAGTATCGTTCACCTACACCTAATAATTATCCCGATAATGGTCCGATCAATCATTATCCATCACCTAATTCGGGACATCCACATCCACATTCGCCTGGTATTGTTTATAGGCAAACGACAACAACGACAAACACAAGGAACGCAACTCATCCACGTCCCGAGCGTGAACCTTTGTTACATCCGTTTCCTGTTGATGGGCCTATCATTACTGAAGTAGATGGAAGTCCGCCAAAGCGCGTTGAAGATTTAATGGCGTCATTTGGTGATGTACGATTTAATTAATATCAGTTTTCTACGTAATTTTATTTCATTAATTATTATCATTGTTGTTTGTAGACAAGTGAAATCCATTATACAAACAAAAAGGTTCAAATTGCTGAGAAGCCATTAACCCCAACCACGAGTTTAAGCACAACTCAGACTAAGGTTTATTCTTCAGAGAAAGAGGATAAGAGTAAAGCGGTTGTTCCATCAAAGAACATCACGGGACCTCCGGTTTATTATCCACCAAATCATGAACTCTTCACTTCGAAAGAAGAAGGTGGATATCGAGCTCAAGTGAGTTTGCTTATTTAACTTGTGAAACGTCAGAGATAATGAATGAATTAATTTTATGTAATCATTAACATTTTAAGGGTGGATATGCTCGTGGCAAAGGGAAATATATGTATGAATCTGAAAGCAAGTCAAAGAGTAGCAGCAAATCTGGAGCTGCTGTGGTGCCTTTATGGTAAGCAACATGCTTAATTAATTTTGAAAAGTTTTAACGAAAGTTTTCATTTGTTTTTAGCTGTCCATTATGTTGTGCTATGCCTTGCACGATCATGTAAATTTTTGGTACTTAATCTGGATGTAATTATTATAAAATAATGTTAAGATGAAACAAAGTTTTACAATACTAACATCACTACGAATCTCCGATGCGAATTTCGATATCTTAAGTATCTTCTACTTAACATAAAAAAGATGGAAACAAATTTATCTAAATAATTTTTATTTCGAAATATCAGAATAATTATCGACTTTGAGTTTAACCAATAAATGTTTTGATGTGAACACCTGTCGCTGTTTCACAAAAGATTCATATCAATTCATTTCAAAACCTAAAAAATTATACTCAAATTGAAAACTTCAACTATGAAACTTAAACAAGAGAAAATATTTTAATTGTAAACAATAACCCGAGCGGCACAACTGCTC